TTTAAATGTAAGAAGTTCGCATTGTACTTTTTTTGTTGAATAGAAATGCGGTCACATACAACGATTGAAACGAACGAAGTCCAGAAAGTAGGTCGCTTTTTGTTATGTGCACATGCATCGCGGGGAATCCAACGTTCCTCCTGTATACATGTGCACTGTTCGGATGTCTGGTTTGTAATCATCGTTGTGACCTCTATTAATTCAAAATTGTTCATGAAGAAAAATATTGTATAGGCTACAATCCGTCCATACACATATTTAGTTTACCCCCAAAAGGGTACGCGTAACTGTCGCTGCCTGTCCAGCTGTTTTGTTGGTCGGTTGATTTGAAGATAGACAGAACGCGTCTCCGCTTTTTTCTTCAAAATTAATTATAGAGACGACAAATTTGCTGATTTATTTATTCAATTCCTTGAATGTAGAGTCATTTAAGAGCCTTTAATGTACAGACACGTAAAACATGTATTACCGTCCCGCCTGCAGGCTACTACGTACATAATGTGATGGATGGTTTCCAAGGCCTCTTCCTAATCCTATTGTATTCTGCACGGGATAGGGCCCTACATTACAATTCCCAGGGTGTATTGTTGTTGGTCATTGCTCGGTATACCTAGATCGGTGTAACAAAGGTTGAGATCATTTCACTTGATTGTAAAAAAAAAAAAGTATACATGTACAGTGACCCTGTTGAGCAGTCTTCCATTACACATTGTGGAGTACGCCATTTTTTTTTCATTTCTGTATGATCAGAATGCATTTTTCGCAAGTATAAGGCCGGTTTAGGGTCAGCACAAAATAAACAATTACAAAAATGAGCCTACAACTTATGCAGTTCACCGAATCATACAAGACACAGTCGATATTAAGTGCATTTTCAATTAACCACCGCATAAATTATGTGGATATGCTTTCAATATACCATCTGTCACATGCGTGCAACACAACAATAGACCACAATCATAACAGTGTTTGAATTTGCAAGAACTGACCCAACCTCGACTCCATGGGCGCGTGCGCGTTCCTAAGATCGCGCCAGGCATGATGGGAACCAACATAATATGGCGCAGCAAGATCGTATCCATGGAAACGAAGTCGGAACTGACCCGGAATCTATAAATCACATAGCCAGTATCAACGTATAATGTTTATCTGTTTTACTGTGGTCTTGGACGAGGACTCGAGCCTGCATTTAACCTCATCACAATATCACCATGTCTAAAGGTAGGCTACCAAAAGTTTCACTACCTTTTCCAATTTGCGACTTTTCAACTCACACACGACATATGGCATTAATTACTTGTCCTTTCATTTAATTTCCTCCCGGAAATGATGGATCAGAGGCCTGTGACGGGAATTTTTTGAGAAAACTGTAGAATTAGAATTCTGAGGGAAAGTGCACGTGATCAACCGTGCGGCGTGCGGACTGAAAGAAAATCCCAAACTGTCCGGCGGAAATCGAAACCAGTTCATAAGGAACCATTGTGCTATTAACATGCTCGATTAGTTTGCAATTGCATATGTTTATTTTGGCGGTTTGCTTGTTGAGGTTATGGCAGTTATAATATATAAATGCCACGATGGTTCAATTTTGTTTAACGCCCAATTTCTGAGGTAGTGGCGTTCCTACTTTTGCTGGTATCCAGACTGATCTCAACATATGACCTCTATGATCTCACAGTGTCTCTTGTGGATTAGACTGGTTAATACCTACTTCACTCACCGACTATCACTTGTGAATTAGACTGGTTATCACTCACTGACTGTCACACCTGGCACCGCGTGATTCATGCACTTTCACGACACGTGTAGGCAATTAGTGAAGTCTCCATGATGAGCGAAAGTGGATTGTTCATGTCAATCTCATGACCACTGAAGCTTATATTTTACGAACTTTTTAGCCGCCCTAACTCATTTAAATAAAAAATTGTGCACACTGTGGGACCAGCTTTACTGTTTGCCCAGTCTTGTTTGTAGGTCTTGCTCTTTTGCCATCACCGCAAAATAACCATGGTGTTAATTGGGACATGCTGCTGTTATTTAGACAACAATGTCCCAGAAAAGACTGTGCATGATTATCTCTCAACGGTTAAAATGCAAAAGCATTAGAATTTATTGTCGAATGGTCTTCAGCGCGCTATGGGTGTGATTCCGTTTAACACAGCGAGTCCACGGGTTTTTGCACGGGTTTAGGCAGGATAGAAAATCGCGCCCATGTATACGTTATATCGATTTCAAATGTGACGTCATCGGGCTTTTATTTCTCATAATGTGATTACGAAAACGAGATGAGGAACGGTCTTTAAAAACTCTGAATATTTTAGTGTTTTATTGACGCTTTTTGTTTGTTTTTGAAATTGCTTTGTTCCTTGCTCTATTATGTGGAGACAAAGCTTGTTACCCATTCGCCAATGGAGCCCATCGTACCTATACCTTGTCAAACCCTCATTGGTATGATGCACCGGTGTACTGCGAGGCCAAAGACGACTTGACGAGTGTACATCAGTATAAATCCAGTTATATACGACATGTCCTTGATCAGTATTACTGGTAGACCTGTATATAAGCCATGCATGGCCAGTTATTACGAACATGTTTTATTTACGTTGTTTATGATTATCACTTGAACTGCTTTTGCACGTACCTAGTTCTATTTGTCCTCATTGCACTTCCCCCTGTATTGCGTAAATGGAGCATCGTGGCTATATAATGTTTCGTAGCAATTTATCGTTATCGCAACAATTTTTCACACGGAAAACAGAATCGATTGGCAAACAAATTTATGAATATAAACAAACACTTGTCACGGGTGCAACAGGTGCGTATAGTTTAAATTACTATTTATACCTTGAACATTGAACCCACGTTGATTTTGTTTGCGAAACCGTTTTCGCATACATGTTTTATGATAGATAGAGCCTAACTGAGTGAATTTTACCTACAGCGAAGCCGAGAGTCTTGTGGAGAAGTGTTATTCCTCTTGGTGAAGTAGACCAAGAAGCACTACTCCGAAAATGAGGGATTTCAGCAAGGTTCTGGGAGGTAGCCTGCAGGGCACCAGATCGCGCACTACATCGGCCAAATTGCTTGTTTTGATTCTTGCGTGGGCGTTTGCTCCAGCCGCACGTTGTGGCGACGCGGAATCTCGTCCGCCGAACGTTGTACTTTTCATAATGGATGATGTCGGGATGGGAGACATTGGATGCTTTGGTAACGACACGATCAAGACGCCTAACCTCGACAACTTGGCCCAGGAAGGAGCCAAACTGACACAGCACATGGCCCTGCCGTTATGCACGCCCAGTCGAGCTGCGCTGATAACTGGTCGGCTGCCAGTCCGATATGGTAAGTCGTTGCTCGTATAAAAGGAATGCCACTGATTGCAGCACAAATACGTTTCTTATTACCATTCAAAAGTCTTTTGGGAACAAAAGGCCGAAGTTGTTAAAATAAATAAAGTTAGCTTGGTTCCACGCGGTAACTTTTAAAGGCATAGAAAATAGCGCTGTATACACCACGAGATATTACTGTATGGCTTAGGCCTAATACATCTTAAAATGTGTGTGCTAAATGCTATATAAGCCATTTCACACTATCAAAAATTCCCGTATTGGACCCGGGTCGAAAACGGAGATTTTAGCAATCCCTTTCACACTAGCAAGAATCCGACACGGCTCCTACACAGGGTACAGTGCTCTACCCGGGTAAAATCCTACCCTGGTCGGGACCAGTGTAGACTGAGGCTCTACCTGGGTAGACAATCGAAATTTGTAGCTTACCCGTGTAAAGATTGGTAGTGTGAACGATCTCCGTGTTGCGCTTGACACGGTTTGCTCCTCCCCATTACTAGGGAGACAAGCAACAGTTGTACGCGGGACAAAGGCGAAATCTGCACACGTGCCAGTGATCAATTTAACATGCACAGTGTCGCGACCAAATTCGGTATTTCATTGTAGCATGGATCTATTTAATAGCTCCATGATTGTAGCAACCGTGACAGTTGTAGCCCAAAAATCGAGCTACGCCGGACCTCGACAGAAGAATGGTTCTAAGTCCCTCAATATTCTTTGTCAGGAACCAGTCTTACCGCGGTTCCATTCACTCGTACCCGTGTTGGCTATGCGTAGTGTGAACGTTTCACGCGTTGCACACGAGTAAAACGGCCCGTTATACACGGCCAACGTTAGTGTGGACTCGCTAAAAGTAGTGAGGACGTTATGTCTTTCCAACCCGTGTTCGATCTTACCCGGGTACGCTATCGGCCTATTAGAAGTGTAGATATCTACACGGGTATACATGGTAGTGTGAACATGCCCATAGACACAGAACAAAAGGCTGATATGTTTCTTAAGACCTTCCGATGTTATCATTAAATGAATTCGTTCATGATAACGAAACAAATTCTTCGTCAAAACAAAATGTCACTGAGGTAGAAATATAAGCGAAAAAGGTACCACTGCATGCACAAAACTGATTTATGACTCATTAATGATATTTGATTAATGAATACATAGATTGGTTGCGGTACCCGCTGCTATATCAGATTCAAACCAGCCAGCCGACCCCGGCAAGCTCGGTGGTCGAGTGGTAAGACGTCTGCAGTAGTAAGCAGGAGGTCCGATGGGTGGGTTCGAGTCCCACCCGAGTGTTTTTTTCTCACAATCACTCGGGACAACACTGAGTATACAGTGTCTGGCAAACCTAATATTGAATTAATGATATTGCGTTTCCTCGTATAGGTCTAACTGATTAGGAGTCTCGATACTGCTATCGAATTGATAAGAGTCTGGATTGTAGGTGCACTTACCGACGACAGTCCGACTTTAATCAATAGTCTACCTTTGTAATCAAACAAGACCAAAGAGTTACATGAAATTACTACAGCTCGGAACAAAACCTTAGTTATAAACTGTAACGGCATTAGATAGTTGGTGAACCGTTGCAGAAGGCCTTGGGCCTGGTTTCTGCCGTAGGCCTTAACTTAAGTTTCTTCCTCAACAAAAATGTAGAATCTTTGAACTATGTCTTTTTACAGCCCCCCCCCCCCCCAAAGGGGCATTGAAAGAATTACATGGATTTATCAAAGTTCGCTTACCAAGTTTGGTCGTCTTATAGGTATGGGGGCCGAAGGAAGGATGAGGGTGTTTATTTACATATCGGCGCGTGGTGGTGTACCTTCTAACGAAACCACGGTTGCCGAATTATTGAAAGACGCTGGATACGCTACGGCCATGATAGATTGGTGTGTTAGGCAGTGGTGTAAGGGTGGGAGGGGGAGCATTTGGATCCCCACTCAAGGCCTGTAGCCCTACCCCTTGTGTCCCCACTCAAAATTTAGAGAAAGGCAAAGGTAAGCTTTTTGTTGTTAAAACCCATTGAAGCCCCCTTTAAGAAAACGAGGCCTAATAGTGGTCTGCAAATTGGACTCCAGTTTACTGGCACTAAATAAACGCATAGATTTTCACGTGACTTTGTTTTAATAAAGAAGTGATACGATTTTGGACCCAGGTGATAAAAATACAACTTTTAACAGTTTCATTTGCAAGTTTATTGCAAGTTTACCCCCATTTCACACAAAATCCTTCTTTTTTTGTGTGAATATAGTTCTTGATGTCGTTTCCTCAATACTTTCCCTTTCCAACAGGCAAGTGGCACTTGGGCATTTCATGCACCGATGAGAATTCCTGCTCCGATCCTAATTCGCAAGGATTTGACTATTTCTACGGCCTTCCCATGACTAACCTACGGGACTGCGGAACGGAGAGCACCGTCTCCTATGCCTGGGCCAAGCTGCGAAGGGTATACGCCAAGATGGCGTACTCGGTACTTGGCGCACTGGCAGCCGCCATGCTCCTCAAGTGGATGGAATTAATTGGCTACAGGAGCGTTGTGCTGTTCCTGTTTGTAGCCCTCGCTGCCAACGGTTCACTCTTGATGTACTGGAAGGCAATCAGGATCAACTGCGTCCTGATGGAGAACCGTGAGATCGTGGAGCAGCCACTCCAGTACGATCACCTGACCGAGCGCCTGCACAGCCGCGCCGTCCAATTCATGGAGAGCCACCAGCAGCAGCCCTTCCTGCTTGTCATGTCCTTCGTACAGGCTCACACGGCGCTTTACAACAACGACCTGTTCCGCAACCACAGCGTGCACGGCAGCTACGGGGACAACCTGGAGGAGATGGATTGGAGCGTCGGGGAGGTTCTGTCGTCACTCAAGAAGCTGGGCCTGGAGAGAAACACCTTTGTGTATCTGACGTCAGATAATGGAGGTCACGTGGAGGAGTTCACAGACGATGGCGAACGAGAAGGCGGCTGGAACGGAATCTATAAAGGTATTACAAACTCGATATGTGAATCAGGTGTCCCTATACAATCCAGCTTTTTAATATATCGCCGATCTTAATAACACCTTTAAAAGGTAGCTTGATTAGTTTGTTCAAACTCAACAATTAGGGCACAGCGAGTTTGATTCCAGCAGGTTGTCTGCCCACTCAGAAGCGATATATAGTCATCATTGCACTTTATTCGCTTTCCAAAGCCAGAAAAACTGAACACAAGTGGTTTCATCATAATATCGAGACAACCATATAGCAGTCGTTATATATACGGCAATGAGAGTGATCACTGAGTAAAATCTTGAAGAGTAAGCATATGACTTTGAAAATGGAACCCGTGACTTTGGGAATTTCTTATATAGGAGGCAAAGGTAACACATGGGAGGGTGGCATCCGAGTTCCTGCCATCGTCAAACTGCCTGGCGTCATCCCGCCAGGCACCGTGGTGTCTCAACCCACCCACCTACCGGACGTCTTACCAACAGTGGCCCGAGTCACCGGAGTCAAGCTGCCCACTGACAGGATCTTCGATGGTCGGGACCTCATGCCATTACTGACTAACGACAGTAGCGAGATGACACATGAGTTTATGTTCCATTACTGTGGAGTCTTCATCAACGCGGTGCGGTACACGCCAGAAGGGGGTAAGTAATTGCATGATGGAGGAATTTTACTATAATTTTATAATGAATGAAAGAGTACAATGCATTCATCTTATTCTACCGTAGAACTGACCCCCAAATTGGGATAGAAATACGTCATCACAGTATAAATGTTTCGTTGCAATAATAGGCCTACTTCTCATCGTGTACCACAGCTCGGAATTGATCAATTCACTGTGTTTTATTGACAGGTATTGTTTATGCCTCTTACGCAGGTGACACCACGTACAAGGTTCACTACACAACCAGTCGTCTCATTCCGGGGCCCCATGGCGTGCTGGGCTGCTTCCAAACCTACACGTGTGATTGCACGGGCTGGAGCACGGACCAGCACGACCCGCCCCTAGTGTACGACCTAACCAGGGACCCCTCGGAGGCTAGCCCGCTGGACAGCAAGGTCCCAATAGTCGTAGAGGTCATCGGCAAGGTGGAGGAGGCGGTGTCCAGACACCGTTTGACGATTCCCGAGCAGCAGTCGCATCAGTTCAGCGTTCTGCAGACGTTCCCCCGTCCCTGGGATCGCCCGCGCTGTGGGAGCTTTCCCTTCTACACCTGCACCGATCCGTATCTGAATCATTTTAAAGCTGACAAGAAAAAGACTCCAAGATAGTATATATTTTGGATTCCATTTATTCTAGTAGCGTATCCGTATTTTCAGTCAGGGAAGGCACAACTTCTGAAAAACAAACCCCCACTTTTTGTCTTTCGTAAAAAAAATACACCTCTTAAAACAGGGGAAGTATTTCTTTTATTTCCTAAAAAGAAATGAAAAAAAGAGGACCAAATGCCCCTCTGGATACGCTAAGCTAATGTCGCATCGTCCTGGGTCAAAATTACATGGTTTTAACTGTGTAGTTAATTTCAATCATAGTAAAGTATCGGTATTTTCACTGAACATAGACAAATTAAGTAAAACTTAATGCATTTTATGGCTGACTGGTCTCGCTGTTAGCACAGCGTAGCCCGTTAAGAAGGTCGAGCTGTGCAACGTGGCAGACAGTGCAAGATTATGGTTAGGCCTCCTCTACAGTGCTTCCCTGCTAAATTAACTGGTAATCACCCTGAATGTCACTTAACGTTATGTACGCTTAATGTTCGTTCACTGAAAAATAAGTCTGCTGATTTTGTGGATTATGTTTGCACCAGTGGAGCTGACATCTTTGCACTGACTGAAACCTGGTTATTAAGGACATCGATTCTGCTCTTAGATCTGAAGTAACTCCGTCGGGTTTCAAGCTCGCAGATCACACACGTGAGAGAAGGAGGGGTGGTGGTACTGCTCTCCTTCTATGGGAATCGTTGGAGGTTAAAAAGATTGCCGCCGCAGAACAGACGCCCTTTGAATTCTCGGAATGGCTTGTGGGATCTGGATCTCAGCAGCTACGCGTTGTTGTCATTTACAGACCACCCTATTCAACTATATAACCATCCAGTTACAATGACTACATTTCTACAGGAATTTTCCGATTACCTGGAATCAGTTCTGCTGACTAGCGCACCACTGATAATTACTGGGGACTTTAACATTCATGTGGATGATGCTGACAACTATGAAGCAATACGGTTTTCTGAGCTACTGGAATCATTGAACCTTACACAGCATATTGATCAATCAACTCATGTTCTAGGACATACATTGGATTTGATCATTACCCGTAAATCAGAGACAATAATTGAACATACGCCTGTTGTTGATTATTTATTCTCAGATCATTATTCCATTTTGTGTAAACTTATTTTAAACAAACCTGATTTATCTGTAAAGGAGGTATCTTATAGGAAGATTAGCTCTGTAGACATGGATATGTTTAAGAATGAAATCTCTGAATCTGATTTGTGTAATAATGACTCAAGCCAAGGTAAATCTGATGATCTTGACCATTTGGCCATTTCATATAATACCATCCTTAGTGACATTGTTGATCATCATGCTCCTGTTGTTAAAAAAACCGATTATTGCTCGGCCCTGTGTACCATGGTTTAATGAGGAAATCAGAATTGCTAAGAAAATGCGTAGAAAAGCTGAAAGGAGATGGAGAACAACTGGGCTTCAGCGTGATTTTGATTTGTTTAAGTTGAACAGAAATAAGGTCATTTTCTTGATGAACAATGCTCGTCAGGATTACTATTCCAACCTGATTAATGAAAATAGTGGTGATCAACGGAATTTTTTTCAGGTTAGCAGGTCTCTGCTCAATCTTAACAAAAGCTCTCTTGTGCCACCGCACACCGATGATTCGATTCTTGCGAATGAGATGGGTAATTTCTTTGTTCAAAAGATTTCCAATATCAGGTTGAGATTGAGTAATGAGACCTGCTCACCTCAGTTATCTTCCTCCACACCCTCATCACCTAGGTCTGGGGGAACATTGACCGATTTTGTGCAACTTTCTGAAGATGTAGTTCGTAAGCTCATCTTAGGTTCTAGTAAGAAGTGTTGTATCCTTGACCCTATTCCAATGAAGTTACTTATTAGTTCTTTAGATCTGTTATTGCCTGTTATAACCAGAATGATCAATTCCTCTTTATGTACTGGTCATTTCCCAGCAGCCTGGAAATCAGCAGTGGTTTTACCATTGCTTAAAAAGCCTAGTCTAGACTTAAAGATTGAAAATTTTAGGCCTGTTAGTAATCTTCAATTCATATCTAAGTTGGTGGAAAAGGCAGTCGCATTCCAACTACAATCTCATTTAACATCGAACGGTTTATATCCAATTACTCAGTCGGCCTACCGTAGTCACCATAGTACTGAGACGGCCTTATTGAAAGTTAAAAAACGATTTACTAATGGCTATGGACAAACAGCATGTTTCTTTATTAGTCTTACTTGATTTAAGTTCTGCTTTCGATACTTTAGATCATACGGTTTTGTTGAATAGGCTCCAGTCCAAGTTTGGTATTGATGGGACTGTTCTCCTCTGGTTTAAATCTTATTTGTCTGACAGATCTCAACGGGTCTCTGTTCATGGTAAACTTTCTCAGAAATTTGACCTTGAGTGGGGTGTACCCCAAGGATCCTGTTTAGGTCCTTTGTTGTTTATTTTATATACCAGTAGTTTGTTCGAAATTATTGAGACTCAACTTCCAGATGTGCATTGTTATGCTGACGATACGCAACTTTATCTTTCCTTTTGCCCAGATGATGCATCGAGCCAGGCGTCTGCTCTTTCTGCAATGGAGGGTTGTATACATGTTGTGCGTAAATGTATGCTCAGTAATGGGTTGATGTTAAACGATGATAAAACTGAATTTATTATCATGGGTACTCGCCAACAATTGGCTAAGGTTAATATTGACAGCATAAATGTTGGGGAGTCTAGACTTTCCCCTGTCTCCGTTGTGAAGAGTCTGGGTGCCTGGTTCGATGCAAACTTAACAATGTCTACTCATATCACAAAAACGTGTGGTACGGCTTTTTATTATTTACATAATATTAGACGTATCAGAAAGTATCTGACCAGGGAATGTACTGAAACGTTAATTCACTCTTTTATTTCTAGTCGGTTGGATTATTGTAATAGCCTCCTCTATGGATTGCCTGACGTTCAAATATCACAGCTTCAAGTAGGGGGGGGGGGGCTGTAGCCCCCCCCAAATTTTGTCTAGCCCCCCCAAAATAAATTCCGTAAAAAAAAAAATTGCATTAGCAAAAAGAAGGATTTTGATGTACATGCGAACGGTCTCCCCCTAAAGAAGAAATAGCCGTGACAAGGGTGCATTAGTTAATATAGTGTGAATGATTTTAGGATTTTGTTGGCGCTCCCCATTGAAAATATGGCATGAGCCCCCCCCCCCCCCGCCTATTGATTTTCGGAGGTCTAAGTGTCTGGAAAAAAAATAACCGGTCTACATTTCAGCACGCCTCCCTGAAAAAAATCGGGATCCACCGTGCTAGCCCCCCCCCAAAAAATATTGGTTCTAGAACCGCGCCTGGCTTCAACGTGTGCAAAATTTCTGTGCCAGACTAGTCTGTAACGCTTACAAGTACTGTCATATCACTCCACTGTTTTTTGATTTACATTGGCTTCCGGTGAGATTCAGGATTGAGTTTAAAATTCTGTTAATAACTTATAAAATTCTTTATGGTCTAGCTCCCTTATATTTATGCCATCTAATCCAAAAACGATCTTCATCCAATTACAATCTCAGATCTTCCAATGACAAAACACTCCTCAGCTACTCAGCAAGTCGAACCAAGGTCACCCTTGGTGATCGTGCATTTGAGTGTGCTGCACCTAAATTATGGAATGCACTGCCATTAAATATCCGAGAAGCAAGTAGCCTGAATGTTTTTAAACAATTACTTAAAACTCATCTTTTTATGAGAAATTTTTATTGATTTTTGTACCCTGTATCAGTATTCATTGTATTGTTGTATTTTGCTTTGTTTGTTTATATTAATTTTGCGTAAAAGTTTGTTTATTTATTTATTTTTTTATGACTGTAATGCGCATTTGAACATATTTTAAATGGAATTTGCGCACTATAAATTAATAAATTATTATTATTATTATTATAGCGAAGTGAATGGAAATTAAAATCACAAAAGCCTAAATTCTCAAGAAATGCAGGTTGTGGTGAAATACGGCAGTAACAATTTTGGCAGCACAGAGAGAACAGCCATTTGAAAGAACAACAACTGCGTCATAGAGGGGTACCGCATCAAATACACAGAAGAGTCTGAGGTTACAAGAACGGTGTACTTCTATATCATATGACATAAAGCTGTAAGTAACAGTGTGCAGTTGTTGAAAATAGAAATTAACAAAATAATTAAGAAAAAGGTTGAATTGGTTACAAAAGCATGGTCAGCAAAGAAGCAAAGGCCGATTTAGGCAAATCAAGGGTTGTTATTGTAGGCCATTCCTTCATTAAACGCCTCAGAGAGGATATGAAACAAAGTTATCACACATTTGAGACTAATTTTGGAATAAACAAAGCACAAGTAAAATTCATTTGCAAAGGAGGCTGGCGAGTTAAAGATGTCCACTCAAGATTGCCATATCTCAGTGCTCAAGATCCAAAATTATAATTATGCAGTGTGGAACCAATGACCTATCCTCAAACGATAGCATCCCAGATTATGTCGCAAACAAATTGCTGGATACAGCAGTTAAAGCCCGGGAAATGACAGACGCCAAATTGGTTATAGTATGTCAGATTCTGTATCGGAACAAAGGACGATTCATCACGTCTGATTCAGAAGCAAGCCAGTTTAATTCTCGGGTAGCTCAGGTTAACGACCTCCTGAAAGAAAAGTGTCCAGAACTTCAAAATATCAAGTATTGGCGTCACCGTGGGTTGACCCAAATTAACACAGAAGAAGGGTACAAGTCAATTTTATTTCCAGATGGCTTTCATCTCTCACCCAGGGGGCAATTGAAATATTACAAATCCATGCGAGGAGCCATTTTGTTTGGTTTAAAAAATTAAGGCTGGGTTAAAGTCAGGTCATGACGTCAGTAAGTAACCACTTCAAAAGAACATAAGCACTGCGGCAACCTACTACTGCTACAGCAAGGTTCTAACGCTCAAATAATTGGTTCAAATTAGATATATCTGAATACCGGCGTGTTTAAGTATCTAGAAAGCTAGGCTATTAAAAAAAAAAAAAAAAAGAGAGAAAAAAAAAAA